GCATCCTTTTGGTGCTTTAAGGTTCAGCCTTGGCTCTCCCTCTCACTCCATGGCACACCAGCCAAGTACCCTTTCTCTTATCCTTGGTTACCTCCAGTGACAGGGAGCTCACTCTTTTTTTTTTTAAAATCATTGCTCCTTCATTTTGGTTCAGTGAATGTTTTTGTGTTTGTGGTGTGTAGATTCAACATTTTTGATTGTTGTCTGGGGCATTGTGCTCTTCTACCCAGACCTGAGGTAGGGCCAGGGATTTTTGGGGTCCGTCAGTTTAGTGCTCTCCCAGCTCAGCTACTTTGGTTCTCCCCCTGTGACAGGGAGTTCACTCTTCATCGTTTAGGTCATTCTAAAGAAAGTTCAGGCTCTTAGAAAGTTCTTCATTTAAAAATGTTTTAAAAAAATTGTTTAATTTTATAATTTTTTTTTTCCTCTTGAAGTCCTACAAACAAGTCCCCTATTAAAGGCTGCTCCCTCTGAGGCAGGACCTGGGCAATTCATCTCTGTGTCCCCCTGTAGTATCTAGCAGAGGGCTTGCTGCTATGAATGCTGTACCAGGGAGCAAGTGGGTAGGGGGTATGGTGCTTGGGGCTCAGCCTCCATCAAGCCTGGGGCTATGGGTAACCAGGTCAGTAGGTCCCATGGGACACAAACTATATGAGTGCTGATGGGCACTGTGACCTCAGTGGATTGGATTGCCATAGAAATTGGCCTTCCCTGTCCCCAGGCCCATTGGCCTGTCCCTCAGGAGGCCCCAGTAATCCTTTGGGCTATTGAGCAGGTCTCCCCAGAGCCTCCCCAGTCCCACATTCTCTGAGCTTGATGGTCCCCAGGGAGCATGCAGGCCACGCCCCCATTGTGTAGCTGAGCAGCCTGAGGCCCAGAGGGTGCAGGGACTGGCTGAGGTTCACATAGGGAGCGGGGTCACAGAGCTGGGTTCGGAGCTCAGAGCTAACAGTCTTGCCTCAGGCCCCAACCAGCCAAGGAGACTTATTCCCATTCACGGGTTCCCAGAGGAAATTCTGGACTGATTCTAGGGCCAACAGCATCCCCTGGAGAAGAATCGGAACCTACCTTGCCTGGTGTGTCCAGAGTCACACAAGATCGGTGATAGCTGATGTGGCAGGGTGACCTGACGTGTCCTCAGCATTCAACTTTGCCTCGTTCAGTTATCACAATGACCCCATCATTTCCAGATGAAGAAATGTGCTGCAGAGAGAAGCTAAGTCTTTTGCCTGAGGTCACACAGCTGATTAGGGACAGAGCCTGGATCTGAGCTGGGGAGTCTGGCTTCAGATCCCACCCTTAACTGCCATGCCCTACCAGGCCTTGCTCTCACTCAAAACTCTTTTGGAGGAGTGAAGGTCTGGGAAGTTCTGAGCGTCGGGCCTGCCGGAGTCAGAGACTGACAAATTGTGACTGAAGAGTCAGAGCCATGATGATTTTTCTTTCTAATCATATCCTCACAACAGAGCTGAGAAGTCTGCTTTATCCCTGCTTTGCAGATAAGGATGCTGAGGCCCAAAGAGGGGAAGTGACTTGCCCAGGGTCACACAGTCGGAAGAGGTGGAGCAGGGCCTCTAATCCACGACCCCTGACTCCACATCTGGTGTGTGTGCTGAGACCCCAGGCTGCGTCCCAGGTCCTCTGGGTCAGCCCCTGACTTCCATAGGTGAGGTGATGACCTATCAGGGCTGCCAAAACGAGGGAGCTGGGAGAGGCAGCCATGATGGGTGGGGAGACCTTGGGCAGGCTCGGGACCCGGGGGGGCCACCCAGGATCTGAGGATGGGGAAGTGGGAGGCAAAAGGGGGCGGCAGGACCATGGGCATCACTGGGGAGTTTTCAACTTGGTTTTCTCTGTGTTTCCCTATCTTTCATCCTCCCAGATTTCTGGCTCAGAAATCTCTTAATTCTTGAATAGTCACTCATTCATTCAGCTGTTTATTGAGCACCTACTGTGTGCCACACCGTGCTCTAGGTACTGGGAGCACAGCAATGAACTAGACAGACAAAAGCCCATGGCAATAATCATGTAATTACACGAAATAAAAAGAAAAACTAGGTCACATGTTATCAAGGAGAGGCACAAACATCAGGGGGACTTAAACCAGTGAAAGGATTTGGGGAACACTTCCCAAGGAGCTGACTTTTGAGTTGAGAACTGAAAGAGGCATGAGCCACCCTGGTGAATGGGTCAGGGAAGGGCATTTAGGCAGAGGGAATAGCATGTGCAAAGGCCCCGTGGCTGTGATGAGCTCCCAGCCATCTCTCCTTCCAGACTCCTGCTGTATCCCTTTGAGCAACTTTGAGCACCTTTCCTCTGGTGTTAGACAATTTCAGTCAGTCATATATTCACTCAACAAACCCTCAGTAAGGCTTCTCCTATGTGCTAGTGCCTGGGACATAGACATGACTCAGATACTGTCCTTGCCCATGAGGGACAGAAACAGTGATTCAGGAGTGGGGGGGAGGTTAGGGCTTCTGAGTATATGGTGTTTCTTTTGTGCTTGGCCCTGTACCAATGAAGCCCTTTACACGTGCTGTCATCCCCATTTTACAGATGAAGAAACTGAGGCTCTGAAAGGCTAACTTACCCAAAGAGGCTAGCATGCCTCTTTGGGCCTCAGTTTCCCCATCTGTAGAATGAGTGGTGATGGAGGCTGTCTATGGAGCCCAGGCAGCCCTGTGTGCTCCCGGAGCTCTTCACCCCAGGATTCTCTCTCATCTCCAGCCAGGACCATGGGCAGCAACAAAAGCAAGCCCAAGGATGCCAGCCAGCGGCGCCGCAGCCTGGAGCCTACCGAGAATGCCCACAGTGGCGGTGGGGGTGCCTTCCCCACCTCACAGACCCCCAGCAAGCCAGCCTCCGCTGATGGCCACCGTGGCCCCAACACGGCCTTCACCCCTGCGTCCGCTGAGCCCAAGCTGTTTGGAGGCTTCAACTCCTCGGACACGGTCACCTCCCCACAGAGGGCAGGGCCGCTGGCTGGTCAGTGGACCTGGAAGTGTGGGTGTGGGGATGCCTTTGCCCCTCTTGGCTGGGCCCAGGTTGCTGGGACAGGAGGGCTGTGTGCCCTGGGGCAGTGACACCCCCCTCTGGGCTGCTGTTTCTTTTGCTCACTAAAGGGGAGTCTATAGGTCACATGGCCTTGGGGACTGTTGGGAGTTTCCTGGAAGCTCCAGGGTGGGGAAGGGGTTTATACACACTCTATCAGATGCAGAGTATAAAGGGGTCTAGAGATATAGACTGTAGGGGGAAACTGAGGCCCAGAGAACCAGGGGGCTGCTCATAGCTGCACGGGACCAGGTCTGAGGCTTTGCTCTTTGCTCTGGTCAGTACAGAGAAGGGTCGGGACAGGCCGCTGGTGTGTGGCTTAGGGAGCAGGGGCGGGTTAGGAGGAAGAACCAGAGCTCGTCCTCAGAGGCCCTCCAGACGCTGAAATGCGCCCCTGCGCCCTCTGCTGGCTGTTTGAGGCATTGCACCCTCAGAAGAGATGCTTAGAGGGAAGTGCAGACATGAGACACACAAACACGTGTACTCTCACCCGACGCACTCACACGGAACCACACACTTATGGTTTCACACACAGAGTCAGCAACTCATTCAAAGACACCCGTGCAGAACGCATACATGTGTTGAGCTGGAGACGCCATCATAGACACTCAGGCACACCCCACACATAGAGACACACTCAGGGACACGTTGGATGTGCACTCTCTAGGCACAGACACACACCCAATGCAGGTGTACACAATACAAACACACTTACACACATAACCTCATGCTCCCAGATGAAGACTCACCCACATATTCACCTAAAGCATCACCTAAAGCCAGTGGGACACTCAGATGTGAAGAGAGGCCCATGCCTCTTACACGCCCTCACAGGGGTGCTCACACCCTTTGATTATGACCATACCTCTGGGCTGGGCTCTGACGGCATGTGAGAGGCCAATTCCCACTCCTTCCAGGGTATAGAGCCCCCCCTGTCCACTTCTCTCCCCAGCCCTTCAAAGACACACAGGACAGACACATACTCATGAAATGCCATCACAGACTCACAGAGGCACAAATGCACATACATGCAGCGAGAACATACAAACACAGAGACACACAGACGCTCATGGACCCTTCAGACACAGACACACACCCAAGTGAGACCAACACTCACGAACACTCATTCGTTTGTTTAAGATATATTTGTGGCACCCCCTACTGTGTGCCGGGACTCTTTGGGTGGTGGGGACACAGCAGTGAGTAAGACAGACAAAACCTCTGTGGGGAAGAGAAACAAAGCAAGGCATGTACACTACGTAGGGTGTCAGAAAGTGGTAATTGGTGAGAAGGAACAGAAAGAGTGGGGGTGTGGAGATTATAATTAAAATGCGGAACAGAGAGGGCCTCCCTGAGGGGACAGTTATCTGCCACAAAGGTCTCCCCAGACACATAGAAGCACCCAGAGAGAGAGAGAAACAGAGCCACCTATCCTGCCGCAGTTTCCTTCATTTACTGGTTCATTGCACCCGACAGTTTTTTTCTTGAGGCCCTACTATGTGCCAGGCTCTGGGAATAAAACAAAGATGGCCGCTAATGGTGGCTTCTGGTTCTATGGGGAAGACACCTAATAGATAAGCCAGCACCTAGCATCACCTAAAGCCAGTGGGACACTCAGATGTGAAGAGATGCACATGCCTCCTACACGCCCTCACAGGGATGCCCACCCCCCTTTGATTATGACCATGCCTCTGGGCTGGGCTCTGATGGTGTGTGAGAGACCAATTCCCACTCCTCCCAGGGAATGGGGTCCTCCCATCCACCCCTCTCCCCAGCCATGGCCCTGGCAGTTCTGACATGCTCCGTCCCTCTCTGCAGGCGGAGTGACCACCTTTGTGGCCCTCTATGACTATGAGTCGCGGACAGAGACGGACCTATCCTTCAAGAAAGGGGAGCGGCTCCAGATTGTCAACAACACGTGAGTGCCCTCCTCCCATCATCCCTGGGGACCCTGTCCCCTGGGTCTGGTCTTGGGCCAGAGCCACTTCTGAGTTTCCCAGGGCCAGGAGCAGCACAGCAGGCAGGAGGCAGAGCTGAGCATCAAGGCCGCTGAGGGCTGGGGGACTGTCTTGGGGCCTATGTTAGTGATGATGAGGCAGGAGGAAGGTAGTTGCAGCTCCGGGACGGCCCCTGGGGCAGGGGTCTGGGTGGGTTCAGTAGCTGGTCAGTAGAGCATCGTGCCTCAGATCCCAGACCCTGCAGAGGGGCATGTGGTCCGGGCCAAACTGGGCCCAGGACCCAGGACTACAAAAAGCAGGGCCTATAGCCAGAGGCTATGCCCACAGAGGTGCCCTCATTAGTGACCTGGGGCTGGAGGGCCTGAGGCAGCTGGTCAAGCCAGAGTCCCCAGCTGTAGGGAGAGGAGCCTACCTTGGGAGGGTTAGGGGACCCATATTGGGCACCCATTGTGAGAGGGTCAGGATTGGACCTAGGGATGAAGTGGTGGGTTAGGGTGTGGAGGGCAGGGCTCCCGGATGGGTGCCTGGTTCACCTCCAGGGACTCCACCTTTGAGGTGGGGCATCCTAGAGTCAAGCTGGCTTATAGTGGAGATGGGGTTCCCTTGCCAGGCTCTGGGGCCCCTGTGGACAGGGGAGCAGGGAGGAATGAACCAGTGAGGGGTGGGTGGGGCTCCAGCTCTCTTCTTTCCTTGCCTGAAGTGCAGTGGGGGTGGGGTGCAATGCCTGTCATGGGGGGGTCTGGTGAAGGCTTTGGGTCATATGCCCAGAGTTGGGGACAGTGGGGGGCTTCATGGTGGGGGCAGGGTGGGGTTCGCTTCTGCAGGAGCTGCCGACAGAGGGCAGGGCAGAGCTCTGCATTTGCGGCATTGCTGCCCTTGGCAGCACTTGCTGTCCCCCCAGCCCAGCCTGCAGCCTCGGGACCCCCGCATTCCTGGCCCGTGCTTGCTCCCTCCAGCCCTGTCTCAGCTTCTCCCTCTTTCTGCTTCTCTCTCGCTGGCCCTTAGGAGGAAGGTGGATGTCAGGTGTGTACACACTTCGTGGGCGGGCTGGTGGGGGCGGGGCTGCTGTCTGCATGTGCCCGTGTCCCTGCCTGTGGACTCTGGCCCCCTTGGCTGCCTCCCTCCAGCTGTCCCAGCTTCTGTCCTCACCCCCAACCAGGTTGACCCAACTTTAACCCCAGGCTGAGAATGGGGAGGGTCCTCCCGTCACCCCGTCACTCCTCATCACCCCTCCTCCCCATCCACCGCCCTTACCTCCTCCCCATTTCGACCCATCAGCCCACATTGAGTGCCAGCTGCATGCAGAGTCCAGTGCTGGGTCCACTGGGGCCTCGGTGGAGAAGGCTTGTCCATGGCCTTTCTGGAGCTAGAGTGTAGCCAGGAGCCAGCCCCAGCCCAGGCCAAGGGGCAGGCAGAGGGCGGGCCCCGGGTCAGCCCAGGCGCTTGGGCCTCTGCTGTGTGTCCCCCTTGGGTGGTGACCACAGAGACCGGGAGGTTCAGGCAGCTCCTTGAAGGAAGAACAGTGAAGTCGTGTGGCAGGTGGAGGTGGTGGAAGGCAATTTCTTGCAGAGGGACAGCTGGTGGGAGGCTGCAGTGCTGGAGGGGGCTGCATGCCTTCAGGGCTGTGGAAGGACAAGAAGGTTCTAGAGGATAGAGTGGAATTGATCCCTGAGCATCCTTGAAGGCCTGGCTACTGGGGTTGGACGTCTCCACCATCTCCAAGCGTGTCTTGCTTGTTCCTGCCTTGCTGCATTTGTGCATGCTGTTCCCTCTGCCTGAAATACCCTTCGTCCCATCTCTGCCTGGCAAACTCCTATTCATCCCTCAAGATCCAGCTTAGGACTGTCTTCTCGTCTTCTCTGTGGGGCAAAAGGGAAAAGAGGTGCCAAGTGCTGTGCCAGGCATTTTTACCTGTGTCCTTGCATTTATTCTGCTGCAGTCCGGCCAGGGTTGAGGTGATGGGGGAAGGGCTGTCTCCATTTTGCAAATGAGGAAACTGAGGCTCAGAGATCGAAGGCCCTTGCCCAAGGTCACACAGCTACCAAATAGCAAAGCCAGGATTGGAACTTGGGCAGCGGCTCTCTCCCCTCCTAGAGCTGCTCTCCCTGGGGAAGGGGGTTTTCCCAACTCCCCACCCCTTTGCATATACGAATCCCAGTGTTACGCCAGTTCTATATGGTTCCAGCTGTTTGCATCCAGCCTCCCCCAAACTGGGAGCTCCTTGAAGGGTGCTCTCAAGTCTGCCACATTTTCTGGGCCCCCCATCACCTGTTGCTCAGCACACTGGTGCTGGTGAACAAGGTGCATGAATTGTAATGAAATAGCACCGTTTTTTGTGCTTTTGTGTGTGAGCCAGTTTTCGTGCTGAGTGCTTTCAGTCGCATTGTTTTATTTATACATCACCACAGCCCTGGGAAGTGGAAACTCATATTTGCTCTATTGTATAGATGAAGAAACTGAGGCCCAGAGAGGTGAAATCACTTGCTCGAGGTCACACAGCTAGTGGTGGTAGAGCCAGGAGGGGTACACATGACCTGTGGCTCTTGTAGGGGGTGCTCAGTGGAGGTGCCAAGGAGCCAGGAGGAGTGAAAGGCCGTGCAGGGGAGGACACATCAGGTTGGACGTTTTGAAGTACTGGGGAATCTCAACCAGCCATGGTGGGAAGGGCATGTTGGGCTGGGGTCACAGCTTGAGCAAAGGCGTGGCGGGAGGAAAGTCTCTGGAAACTTGGATGTCTGCGTCTTTCACCCAGAGTTCGAGGACAGCCCTCCTCTCTTTGTGCTCCCCCTTCCCTTCCTTTTTCCTGCCTTCTAGGATGGGCTGGGGGGTGTTTGGCCAGGCCTGGGGCTTCCAGGAGGGCTGGCAGTGATGGAGTCCATGCTAAGCCCTCAGTGCAGTGAGCTCCCTGATTGGAAGGTGGGGATGAATTGGGAGCCCTTCTTCGCTTCACAAAGGAGTTAGCCACTCCTTTGCCTGAGAAGCTTGGTGATGGTGGAGTTGGGGGCTGGCATTAGAGGAAGAGGAGGGATAAAGGGATGCGGGGGGCTTAGTGGAAGATGGACCACCCAGATTTGAGGTGTTCAGGTCTCATACCTCACCCAGGGACCACTCTGCATGTCCTTCCACCGTTATTGCTTAGGGTCCATTATTGTTTAATCCTCCAGTTTCCCACCCCAATCTCCCTATCTCCTCCACCCTATATCAGTGGGACTTTCTGAGTCTAACCTGTGGCTAGCCAGGGTGTCGGGGGAGGTGGAGAGCTTAAAGAGGAGCCTCTGTCGCTGGGGTCTGGCCAGGACTGGCTGGGTCAGAGTCTTCACAGTAGCAGGCCTGGAGACCCTGCTCCCTGGATCTTTGTACCATATGTCCCTGAGTCCTAGAATCCTGGGTGCTTTGTGGACCTGGGTCTGAAGGAAGCCCACTGGGGTCTGAGGTCTCACTGCACCAAGCCCCCAGCCCTGTGTCTGAGTCCCCAGGTGATGGGGCTCCCCTAGGTCTGACTCTGGGTTGCTCCTTTACCTGCCCCCTCCTCCCCACCCAGATTCCAGCAGCTTTTTTGGAGGAGCGCTCCAGCAGGCATTGACCTCTGCCACCTTGTCCTGGGGACTCTAGTTCCACTCCTCACCATGGGGCAAGGGACACCACCCTGCTCTCCTTACTCGGGACACTGTGACCTGCCCTGGCCTCACCCTGCCCTCTCCCCGCTGACCGTGTGCCCAGGCCTCAGGGCTTGTAACTTGCCTGCCTGGGCCGTGCCCAGCTGCCCTGGCTTGCCTGCAATCCCCAAAGTGCTTCTGCGACCACTCCCAACAACCCATGTGAGTTAAATATAAATGCCCAAACTGGCATAACTTCCCAGGTGCAAAAGCTGCCACATCCCTGATGCACATACCAGCCTGGCTGGCACAGAGATTAAGGAGCAAAAAGAGGATCCTAAGGCTCAGAGAGGTGAGGTCAGTTGCCCGAGATCACACAGCCAGTGAACAGCAGTTGGGATGTGAAGTCGTAGCTTGGGGGCTCGTGGTTCTGTGCTTTCTCTGTTGGCCACAGGTGAGAAGGTGAAGGGTCAACCAGGGAATGTGTGATGCCTTTCCTGCTTTCCCTTTTTCCTGTCCATCTGATAAGGACCAGGTCCCAGGGAAGGTGTTGGATGCAGTAAATTTGCTCGACCTGATAGATTAACGCCACTGTCACATCCAAGGCTGGGCTTGGGTTGGTGTCCCTGTGGGACTGGACTGGTCTGGGAAGCTGTGGGGCACCTCCTGTAGGAGCAGCCCCAGGCCCTTGGCAGCTGCCTACGGCAGGTTTGAGCCTCCCAGACCACAGACTTGGGAAGATGCGGCTTTGATAGCTCCATTTCACAGGTGGGCAAACTGAGGCTCAGATGATAATCACAGTAATTATCTTACCCAAAGTCAGCTTGATGCTGACTGATTTATACACTTTGCTTGCAAGGGAGATTCTGTGAATCTTACCTCCTTTTTTATGGATGAGGAAACTAAGACCCAGAGAGGGCAGGATACTTGCCCAAGGTCACACAGCAAATCCTTATTGGAGAGTGGCACAGAGCTACTTTGGTTTTTAAAAAATGTTTTGGAGAGTTGGAAGGGGCACCAATGAGATAGAGATTCAATTGTTTTTATTTTATAACTAGATCAAGATACTAACAGTTCATGCACGTTGAGCACTTACCGTGGGCCAGACTCTGTGCTAGTATTCTATGTCCTTAGAGGGAGGCATGAGTATCCCCATCCTACAGATGAGGAAACTGAGGCAGGGCCAAGGTCACACAGCCTCCAAGTAGTGAGCTGGGATGGTGCCCGGGATGGCTGACTCTGGCGCTCAAGCTCTCAGAGGCCTCTCAAGCTGGGGCCAGGCCATAGGTGGACCTTGGGTCCCTTAGGGAGATTGCAGTTCACCACCTTCCTTGCCCTTGTGAACGAAAACCCTCAGACTGGACTGGGAGCCCAAACTCACATATGGGCTGATGTCAGGAAGCTAGAGGCTCTGCTGGCTGAAGGCTGGGTGATGTCAGCAGAGCTGAATCCCCCTTTCTCTGGGACCCTGCTTGGCTGGCCGCTGGGGCTATGCTCCTACGGCCTTCCACTCTGAGTTAGGGGCTGGGGGCTTCCCAGAGGCTGGCCAGCTTGCGCTCTGATTTTGTCAGTCTGTGTGGTTTTATAGCCTCTGACCTAGACCTTGGACCAGTCCCCTGCCCCAGCCCCGCTGCCTCCTCCTCCATCTTCCTCTAGCTTCCCTGAGGGTCTCTGAGCCTCCGAAGGCTCGGTGAGGCTGGAGGCCTGCTGTATCTGGCTTTGGGCATTCAAGGATCCTGGTTCTCACCCTTCCTCTGCCATTGATTTGCTGTATGTAAGGCTTTGGGCACATCGCTGACCCTTTCTTTGTCTTATTTTCCCCATTGGTGAAATGAAGACTTTGGCCTGGAAGATATCAGCTGTTCACTGTGACTTGAGTTCTTGCTTTGTAGCTTTGGACAAGTCTCTGCCCCTCTCAGCCTCAGTTTCCCTAATTCTACAAAGAAAGTGCTGGGTTACTTCCACCTGGGTGCTGTGTGTCCTTGGGCTGGTCCCTCAACATCTCTGAGCCATGGTTTTCTAATCTGGGGCTGAGACCTACCTTCCTTCCTCGCAGGGTGGCCTTGAGGGTCAAATGGAACACACAAGTGTGGATACCCCCAGCTGGGTGCATAAGAGGAGGTGGGTGGAGGTCCTGGGCATCTGAGAGCTTCTTTCCTTGAGGTGGGCCTTGCCCCCTTACTCTGGAGTGCCCCCCTCTCCTGCAGAGACTCCCACATGAGCGCGCGTCCCTGCCTGAGTGCATCAGTGATGACACAGCCAAGTCACCCTGCACAGCCCCCGTTCTGCTGGCTTCGCCTCAGTCCACCCAGAAGGGGCCCCGCCCCCTCTGGTTCAGCCTTGGCACCCCTCGCTGAGCCTTGGGTCTGGATGTACTCTGCCAGGTCCTTGGAGAGCTCCCCCAGCCCCGCTCACTGCTGGCCTCAACTTCTCCATCTTCAAAATGGGCTGAAGAATGTGGGTCGGGGGAAGCTCAGAAGAACCAGGCGCCAGGGATTCAGGTTCAAGTCCAGGCTGTGTGACTGGGCAAGGGCCCTTCTCTCCCTGGGCCTCTGCGATCGGGAGAGGAGCACATCCTGCTTGCTGTGTATCTTCTCAGGGTCATGGTGAGGTCCAAAGTCAGCCTTGGATTGAGAAGCTCAGCAAGCTGACAAGCCCCACCGTCTCCCGTAGGGGAGGATTTCTTCTTATCTGGCCGTCAGGAGCCTGGGCCTGGCTGTGTGACCTTGAGCAGAGGACCTTTGCTTCTCTGGCCTCAGTCTCCCCATCTACACAGTCGGAATGGGAAGGGACTGGACCCTGTTTCCCAAGCAGCCCTTCGCATTGGCCCCTTCCCTCCACTACCCATGGACCCTCTCCCTGTCCCTGTTGGCTGCTTTGGATGTGAGGCCTCTGTGGCTGCCCTGCCTTGTCCCCTGTCCCCAGCACCGCCTGGCTCTCCTGCTGTCTTCCTTGCTCTTTCTGCCTCTCTCTTACCACCCCCATCTCTGCCTCTTCTTTCCTGTTGGGCTCTCGCTTTCTCCTCTCTCCTCTGTGTCTCTGGACCCCCGCTCCAGCCAGACCTGGTTCACATTCAGATGGCTGCAAAGGTACTTTGCCCCCTCCCCACTCCCACCCAGGTCCAGGGGACCCAACCGTGCAGGGAGCTCCCTGGTTGCCATCTCTTCCTCTTCTTCCTCCTCCTTGTGGGGCAATTAGTGTAGAAGTGCCCCTGGGCATTGGGGGATCTGCCACCTCAGCCCCCTCTAACATGACTCGCTGTGTGATTTTGGGCAAGTCCCAGCCCTCTCTGGCCTCAGTTTCCCCCGTAGTTGGGCAGGCCACACGAGGAGGCCTGCCATTTTCAGCCGAGGAGCACTTTAGGTGCGACCTGTGATTTGTGACAAAGGCAAGCATTGCTCTAGTTTGCAGGGTTGGCACCTGGGTGGTCACCAAGCCCCCCAAAGGGCCACCCCCTGCCTCCACTCAGGGCTCACCAGCTCCCAGGATTTGGCTTCCAAATCTCAGAGCTTGGGGAGGCTTCGGAGGTGTGATATGACACCTGTCTTGGGCAGAAAGCTTCTCTCCTGTTGTAACTTGCTTGCTCCCCAGAGTCGAGGAGCTCCCTACCTCGTGGCCAAGGCAGCTCTTGGCATCTTGAGATGGCTTGGTCTGTCTGAAGGGAAGCAGATTACTTCCCGTTCCAGGACTCTGGCCCTGTGACTTCAGGCCTCAGGCTGACCGAGGTCAGTTCTGTCACAGTCCTGGAGGAAGCCTGTCTGAGTCAGCTTTGGCCAAGAGTCATCTGGGCCAGGGAGAGGAAGAGTTCCGGCTGTGAGTGGCCTGGTCCCACTGCTCCCTGTGCTCTACTTGGCCTCAAGGGCGCCCAGCACAGTACCCCTGAGGACTGCAGGCACTGGGGCGCACTGCTGATGGCTCCCTTTTCCTTTGCTCCCTCCCTGTCCCCCTGCTCAGAGAGGGAGACTGGTGGCTGGCCCACTCGCTCAGCACCGGACAGACGGGCTACATCCCCAGCAACTATGTGGCGCCCTCCGACTCCATCCAGGCCGAGGAGTGAGTATCGACTCGAGCTTCCTGCTTGCTCTTCATCGCTGCTGGTTCAGAGCTTCTCTCTGGGCCGGAGTGGGCGGTCTGGCTGCCCAAGGCCCCGCACCACATCTCAGGGAGAGGCACTGTGGGTTGGCAGGTTCACCGACGCCATCCTCCCCCTTCCTACTCCAGGTGGTACTTTGGCAAGATCACCAGACGGGAGTCAGAGCGGTTATTGCTCAATGCCGAGAACCCGAGAGGGACCTTCCTAGTGCGAGAAAGTGAGACCACGAAAGGTACGAACATTCCTGCTAGCCAAGGGGAACTGAGTCTTTTTGTGGGTTGTTTGAGCTGGGTGTTGCAGAGTGAATAGGAGTTTGGTATATGGAGTGAGGAGGTGAGAGCCCTCCAGGTGGAGAAAATGACAGGATCAAAGGCAGGGAGGTACATCTGAGGAACACTGAGTTATCTGGGGCGGCCAGAGGTAAAGCGAAAGATGACACTTAGCTTTTCTAGCCTCAGTTTCCTCAGATGAGGAATGGACACAGGTTGTCAAGAGGACTGAGGATCGCACAGCAAAAGATTTGTTCCCAGGGTGGGTACTGATTCAATGTCCCCATTCTTCCCCTTCTTCAGGGGCGTCTGGGGCTCGACTGGGTGCTGGGACATGGCTTTGCTCTTCCCCGCAACAGCCCTGGCCCCTGGTCCTCTCCTGTACCTTCCCCCAGCCAGAGAACCCATGTCACTCACTCTTTCCAGCCCCTCTGCAAATGGGTTGCAGGTGCCCCATCACCATGGCAACGAAGCCGGGCCACTTCTTATGGGCCTGGGGCTCAGCGGGAGATGGGAAAGCAAATCATCTATGTCACACATGTGTATTTATGAGTGACCGTGTGGCCGTGCATGCCATGTGTGGGTCCAGGGATGTGTATGCACGTGGGGGTGAAATTGTCTGTGTGGTACAGCGTGGGAGTGAACTGTTGTGGGTTTGTCTTTGTGCCTGGGGGACTGGGAGTGTGTACCTGTATTAGCATGCAGCCGCTGGGCACAGGTGTGCCTGTGAGTGTGCACCTGTGGTCAGGGGCTGGCTTCAGGCTCAGGCCTGTGGCTTCCACGTGCACAGGGCCTGGGCCATCTGGAGGAAGTCATGGTTGCCCCATGCAGCTTTAGAGACCCAGGTATCGGTTCAAGTCCCAGCTCTGTGCCTGACTGGCTGGGTGACGTGAGGCTAGCTGCTTTCCCTTTCTGGGCTCCATTTTTCCTTCTTTACACAAGATTTTAACCCCCACCTGAGGACTGTCCAGAGAGTCACGCATGGGCTTCTAGCACGATACCTGTATGCTACCTCCCAAGAAGGACTTTCTCTGGCCATTGGAAGCTCTGCTTCTGCTGCCCCTGCCTTTGGGGCTCGGCCACCCCAGGTGTCTCTTGGGCTCAGGTTAGCGGAAACTCCTAGCCAGGCCTGCTGGACAAGAGGAAGCTTTTCTAGCCTAAAGCTTTTCCAGGCTCAAGGAAAGCAGGGCTGGGGCATTATGGCTGACCCAGCTGAGCCTTTACAGCCTTCAGGCCATGCCCAGCACCTGGTCCCCGGCCTACGGCTGCCTCAGCCTTAGCCAACCACCAGCTCCTGCCTGAGCCTGGAGTCTTTAGGAAGTGGTGGGGCCTGGACAGTACTCCCGCAGGCAGACCCAGAGAAGGGAAGCAGTTAGTCTGGGGACACACAGCCACTTGGGCCATCCCTACATTCCCAGCAAACATTTATTGAGCACCTACTGTGTGCTAGGTCCTCTTACATGTGGTTTCATTGGATCTTCCCAGCAGCTCTGGGAGTAGCCCCATTGTGCAGAGGAGGAAACTGAGGCCCAGAGAAGGCAAGCAGTTTGTCCAGGTCACACAGTTGGGACGCACACTCAGTTTTCAGAGGTCTTGTCGGGGCCAAGAGTGCATGGCGAGGCTTTCTGGCCAGGTGGCCCTTTGCTTACTTGTCTCCGTGGCCACCCCAGAGCTGGGTACTCAGGGACAGGTTGCTGTGACCCTCCCCCCTCCTGTGTTGGATAGGCACAGAGCTGCGCTTAGTGCCGCGGCCTACGGGGGTGATGGGCCTGGTGGTCATGGCTCCTCTCTGGCCCTGCCCTGCAGGTGCCTACTGCCTCTCGGTGTCCGACTTCGACAACGCCAAGGGCCTCAACGTGAAGCACTACAAGATCCGCAAGCTGGACAGCGGCGGCTTCTACATCACCTCTCGCACCCCGTTCAACAGTCTGCAGCAGCTCGTAGCCTACTACTCCAGTGAGTGACCCTGTCTCCCCGGGCGCAGGCCTCAGGGGATGGGCAGCGGGGGCCAGGGCGGAGCAGGTGGCCTGGGCCTGCGGTTAGGCCCTCTGAGGGCATGTGGTGGGGGGTGGGGGAGGGTGTTATGTGAGCCTCAGCTGCAGTCCCTGAGGAGGGGGCTTTGGGCTGCTGTTATCCTGAGGATGTGCAGCTCCTGCTCCCTGCCACTTCTTTCTTTATTTTCCCTATTCCTTCCTTCCTTCCTGTGCTCTTCTCTTCCCTGTTTCCCCTCATTCCTCTCCCCCCACTACCCCTCCCACCTCTTTCCCCTCCTCTGCAGCCGGCTGGTGAGGAGGGGGCTGCCTGGAGGAGTGAGCGGGGAAGGGAGGGTGCGTAGGCTGGTATCTTTCGTCTCCGCAGCCCTAGGATCTGTCTGAACTGGTTACTGGGAGAGGAGGAGGGGGTGGCCAGATCGATGGCCACAGAGAGGGAGAGAGAGCGAGCCATGGCAGGCGGGCAGAGCTAGCGAGGGCTCAGGGTGCTCATAGGCGCCGGCTGTGTGTGCAAGTGTGGCGGTTCCGTCTGGATGCCCAGGGGGACTAAAGTGCCATGGGCCTGTGCGGGCCCATGTGGGCGGGTCTCTGTGGATGTCTGCGCAGCTGCGGCGTGTCGCTGTGGCCTCTGTGTGCAGGTATGGCCAGCGACTTCCCACCCCACACTTCCTTCCTCCTCCTCTGTCAGGTGGGCCCCCTGCTTCCTCTCGGATCTGCCACTTCTCTCTGTCCCCTTGGCCACCACAACTGTTCTTTTTGAGCCCTGTTCCCTCAGATCAGAATCCTCCAGGGGCTATCTTGGAATCTTAGGATAAAGGCCCCAGTGTGGTCTCCAAGGCCTTGGGTAGTCGAAACATGGCCTTGGGTAGTCGAAACCTGGGGTCACCCTTCTCCCACTCACTTCCCTGCAGCCCCCCTGCCCTTCTTTCAACTCCTCCAACCCAGCAGCTATTTCTCCCTAAGGGCCTTTGCACAGGCATGAGGCACTGTGCCCTCTGCGTGGAGTGCTTTTCCCTGGTTAACCACTCGCTCCGCTTCCTCTGCGAAGTCTTCTAGGATTCCATCCGTCCTGCCTGCTATCACACGCACAGCTCTCCGCCATCACACACGTGGTCCTGGGAGTTGATTAAGGGAAATTGGGCTCCCCCTGGACTATGAGCTCCCCGAGGCCAGGGTTCCACTGGACTTGTTCCTCACTATGTCTGTGGCAGCCACCTATCTGGGCACCCCTTAAAGTGTGATGAATGAATGGATGAATGACTCGGTGAGCAGACGCATGAGGCAGTGTGGGCCTGTGTGGGCTGACAGTGTGTACACACGGGTGTGGATACCTGACCTCAAGGGTGTCCTGTGTGTCCCTGAAGTGTGTGTACATATAGCATGTAGGTCTGTACACACACACCATGGGACAGGGGGGACCCAGAGTGGGTGCCCGACCTGAACTCCACCTCCCTGCCTCCATTTTCAGAACATGCTGACGGCTTGTGCCACCGCCTCACCACTGTGTGCCCCACATCCAAGCCACAGACTCAGGGCCTAGCCAAGGACGCCTGGGAGATCCCCCGGGAGTCGCTGCGGCTGGAGGTCAAGCTGGGCCAGGGCTGCTTTGGAGAGGTGTGGATGGGTAAGGCTTTGCCCCTGCCCCCTCAGAGGAGACCACAGTCCCCTTGGGGGGACTTTGTGTCCCCACCTGAGAACCAGACAGATAGATGTCCATCCTGACTAGCGGCTCAAAGCTCCCTTTCTCCCCCTTCCCTCTACCTTCCTGCGTTTCAGTCACCTCTGCTGAACAGTGGGCCTTATTTTATTTTTCATTTTATTTTTTCGGGCAATTGCGGGAGGGGAACAGTGTTGGGGAGTTGGGGGAGGGGAACAGCCAAGTTCTTGTCCTTCAATCTTAGTTGTGGAGGGCGCAGCAACCTCAGCTCCAAGTCCAGTCGCGCCGCTCAGCTCAAGGTGCTGTGTTCAATCTTTGTTGAGGGTGGGCGTAGCCACCATCCCACGAGGGAGTCGAACCGGCAGCCTTGTTGTTAAGAGTGCGCGCTGTATCCAGTGGGCCCTATTTTAAATAGGTACCTCCCCAGTGGTAGCTGACACCAAGATGGGGTGTGCCCCCCCCCACGCGTCTGCAGACCATGGCACCTGTTTCCTAAGAGCTGCTCAGGGCTGGGCATTGTGACTCCCCCATGACCTGCTGGGTGATCTGGGCCAGGAGGTTTCACTCTGAGCCTCGATCCTCCCCACCGTAAAATGGGGCTGGTGATAAAAGAACCCATCGTGGGGTTGTGAGAGCTCTGGCCCGGCGCACATCCACCCATGAGCTCTTAGCCCTGGGGAGAGAAGTCCCAGCTCATGGAGGTAGCTCTGGGATGTGCAGGTCTGGCATGGTCTGGGCCTGTTAACATTCCCCTGTCTAACCCTGGAGAGATGGCAAAACTGCTCTTGAAAACAAACACCATGCAGCCCTGGAAAAACCCAGGCTGCCTTCCACAGACTGATTTCTGCTGACACAGAGCAATCAAGGAGGTTGGGGTGAGGTAGGCATGACAGTTGTAAGCCTGTGTCTTCAGCAGAAGGATCACGGTTGTGCTGTCTTCAAGGTTTTCTCAGGAGCCATGATATGCACTTGGCATTGCTGTCTGCACTTTCCTCCTTTCAGAGGAGGAGATGATAAAAAAGTGCAGAGAGCGTTCCTGGGTGGAAGGCACTGCAGGGATAAAGGCCTGGAGGCGAGGTCAGGCCAAGTCAGGAAAAGGGGAAGTATTGACTTTGAGCTGGAGAGAGGGGAGAGAGATGGGAAGCCGGGTCCAAGACGCAGA